CTGGCGGTGAAAGTGTGTGGCAACAGCATCGTTGAGCCTGGAGAAGACTGTGATGTCGGATACTTGAAAGACGACCCTTGTTGTACCCAACGCTGCAGATACCAAGATAATGCTGTCTGCTCCCCTATCAATAATCCGTGTTGCACCAGCTCGTGTCAGATAGCGCCTCCGACGCAGAAATGTTTCGTTGACATTCAAGATTGCCACCAAGATGCATTTTGCTCTGGCACTGAGTCCCACACTTGTCCTGAACCACAACCATTGCCAAACAACTCCACTTGTCAAAGCCTGGGTAAATGCTGGCAGGGCAAATGTGTGTCCTTCTGTGAGCTGTTGGGAGCGACCTTCACCCCTACCCGTCGTCTGATCGATTGTGTCTGCGACAAAGATCGCATATCAATGTGCTATCACTGTTGCTGGGACCCAGAGATTATGCAAGCATGTACCAAAATGGGAGGGACTAAAATAGATGGCACACCATGTATGCTGGGTGTTTGTGACAAGGGGATGTGCATGGAAACGAAAATGACTGATAGTTTTCTTTTTGACAAAATGGCTCAGCCTTCGAGGGGATCAAACAATTTTCGCCCGTCAGGTTTCAATGATATACTTGTAGCTATTACTGCTATATGTCTTGGATGGCGGAGACTAATTCTATAGGGACAAGGGCAATAACTATTGCACCTGTCTAAGTTATGATAGCATGAAAAACAATCAACATTTATTTATGTAAGCTCTGTGGCTTTGAGATTAGTGACATGGTTTCACAATTCAGTCTTTGATATTAACTATGGTTCGATTTCAGAGGTGGACAGTCTAGTAAAAGACCTTTTTCCTGGCTTTCAAACAGTGGTGCCAGAGTCATATCGTGGAAGAGATTGGAGTCTCTCCTAATCCTACTTCTTCTTTGCGGTTGGTTTCGTATGATCAGATCAGACTATCAGGTGGGTTGCCTTCATAATCTCGCATGTCAGCTGCAGGTCTTTCATGGTTCCCTATTGCTTGATCTGCACACTTTGCTTTTGAGGCCAGGTGTCTTTTCGAAGTTGCAGGTAGAGTGGGCAGGTCTGCAGAATGTGCTGAGGTGTTTGTAGTCCTGTTTGACAGGAGGCACACTGTGGCGACTGTACATTCTTTATTTTATACATGTGGTTGTTGAGCCTGCAGGTCCTGTTTTTAAAAGAAAAAATTGTTGTATGTCGCTTTCTCTTGAGTCTGCCGATGTGATCTAGTGGATGAATACTGTTAGTTTGTTCTCTTCACAATTTCTTGTATTTTCCGTTGATAAGCGTTTTCATTTCTGGCAATAATGATTAGGTATGGAGGACTGACATGCAGTCACACAGGAAAACAATTTGTATGTTTCTGTCCTCAAACACTTTGGTTGCCTTAATAATTGCTTGCTGCTCTGCTTTGAAGTTTGTTCTCAGTTTCCTAGAGGGACACGACTTTCAGCTGTGGTCTCACCTCACAGCTTTGAAGTTTGTTCTCAGAGGGACACGACTTTCAGCTGTGGTCTCACCTCACAGCTTTGAAGTTTGTTCTCAGAGGGACACGACTTTCAGCTGTGGTCTCACCTCACAGCTTTGAAGTTTGTTCTCAGAGGGACACGACTTTCAGCTGTGGTCTCACCCCATAGCTTGGGAGTCTCACACAGAAACATTGCCAAAGTTGGTAGTGAAAAGGGCACATTTTTTAAAATAACAATAAACATATCGTTTTATATTTCTGTATGTGTGTTTGTGAGGGTGTATGAATGTATGTGTGGGGGGTGAAGGGGGTATGAATGTATGTGTGGGGGGTTAAGGGGGTATGAATGTATGTGTGGGGGGTGAGGGTGTATGAATGTATCTGTGGGGGGTGAGGGGGTATGAATGTATGTGTGGGGGGTAAAGGGGGTATGAATGTATGTGTGGGGGGTGAGGGTGTATGAATGTATGTGTGGGGGGTGAGGGGGTATGAATGTATGTGTGGGGGTGAATGAGGGGTGATGGTGTATAGATGTGAAATAAATGTGACTGAATGAAAGAATAGCAGTTAAGTCACGTGGTGCACATACCCGTCTTAGTTTCCCGACCCCATGGGGGAGAGGCATAGGGGATTGGGGGGGGGGGGGGTGGCAAGGACCGGTGGACTCACTGCTTGTCAAGTGGATGTACGCCCACAATTCAAGTTCTGGAAACAGACTAAAGATCCGAAGTGGACACTCGGACAAAACTTGTCCTTAGAGTTCACAGTCGGTGAGCGTTAAAAAGAAAAGAAAAAGGTGGGGGAAGAGGAGGACCAGGAGAAGGAAGAGGATGAGATGGAGGAGGACAAGACGAAGGAGGAGGAGAATAAGAAGAAGAAGAAGATGAAGAAGAAGAAGAAGAAGAAGAAAAAGAAGAAGAAGAAGAAAAAGAAGAAGAAGAAGAAGAAGAAGAAGAGGAAGAAGAAGAAGAAAAAAAAGAAAACGAAGAAGAAGAAGAAGAAGAAGAAGAAGAAGAAGAAGAAGAAGAAGAAGAAGAAGAAGAAGAAGAAGAAGAAGAAGAAGAAGAAGAAGATTAAGAAGAAGAAGAAGAAGAAAAGGAAGAAGAAGAAGAAAAGAAGAAGAAGAAGAAGAAGAAGAAGAAGAAGAAGAAGAAGAAGAAGAAGAAGAAGAAGAAGATGAAGAAGAAGAAGAAGAAGAAAAAAGAAGAAGAAGAAGAAGAAGAAGAAGAAGAAGAAGAAGAAGAAGAAGAAGAAGAAGAAGAAGAAGAAGAAGAAGAAGAAGAAGAAGAAGAAGAAGAAGAAGAAGAAGAAGAAGAAGAAGAAGAAGAAGAAGAAGAAGAAGAAGAAGAAGAAGAAGAAGAAGAAGAAGAAAAAGAAGAAGAAGAAAAAAAAGAAGAAGAAGAAGAAGAAGAAGAAGAAGAAGAAGAAGAAGAAGAAGAAGAAGAAGAAGAAGAAGAAGAAGAAGAAGAAGAAGAAGAAGAAGAAGAAGAAGAAGAAGAAGAAGAAGAAGAAGAAGAAGAAGAAGAAGAAGAAGAAGAAGAAGAAAAAAAAAGAAAACGAAGAAGAAGAAGAAGAAGAAGAAGAAGAAGAAGAAGAAGAAGAAGAAGAAGAAGAAGAAGAAGAAGAAGAAGAAGAAGAAGAAGAAGAAGAAGAAGAAGAAGAAGAAGATTAAGAAGAAGAAGAAGAAGAAAAGCAAGAAGAAGAAGAAAAGAAGAAGAAGAAGAAGAAGAAGAAGAAGAAGAAGAAGAAGAAGAAGAAGAAGAAGAAGATGAAGAAGAAGAAAGAAGAAGAAGAAGACGAAGAAGAAAAAGAAGAAGAAGAAGAAGAAGAAGAAGAAGAAGAAGAAGAAGAAGAAGAAGAAGAAGAAGAAGAAGAAGAAGAAGAAGAAGAAGAAGAAGAAGAAGAAGAAGAAGAAGAAGAAGAAGAAGAAGAAGAAGAAGAAGAAGAAGAAGAAAAAGAAGAAGAAGAAGAAGAAGAAGAAGAAGAAGAAGAAGAAGAAGAAGAAGAAGAAGAAGAAAAAGAAAAAAAAGAAGAAGAAGAAGAGAAGAAGAAGAAGAAGAAGAAGAAGAAGAAGAAGAAGAAGAAGAAGAAGAAGAAGAAGAAGAAGAAGAAGAAGAAGAAGAAGAAGAAGAAGAAGAAGAAGAAGAAGAAAAAGAAGAAGACATGTTGCAAAAAGCAGACTTGATTGTATTAAACGTTGCGTAATTTGAATAAAGTAATTCAAAGTAAATGTATACATTATTTTGTCGTTCAAAAGCCGGACTCTAATGCCTAGTTTCATTAAGTATTCCTGTCGAGCTTATCGTGCCTAGTCCCACTCTCTCACTTCTTCTCTCTTGTCTAGACTCATTCTTTCGCTTCTTGTTTAGACTTTCTTGTCTGGTGTTTTCACTTCTTAACCTTGCTAACCTAGGGCGTTTCCCTCTCTTCTTGGCTTATGTCTAGGATAAACTTCACGCTTCTTAACTTTTCTTGTCTAGACATTTCACGTTTCTTAATTTCTTTTGTCAAGGATGAATTTCACGTTTCTCATTTGTGTGTGTGTCTAAACTGAAGTTCACGTTTCTTAACTTCTCTTGTCTGGTCTGATTCACTCACCCCTAACCTCGCTTGTCTTGTCTTGTCTGATTCACTCACCCCTAACTTCTCTTGTCTTGTCTGATTCACTCACCCCTAACCTCGCTTGTCTTGTCTGATTCACTCACCCCTAACCTCGCTTGTCTTGTCTGATTCACTCACCCCTAACCTCGCCTGTCTTGTCTTCTCTGATTCACTCACCCCTAACCTCGCTTGTCTTGTCTGATTCACTCACCCCTAACTTTTCTTGTCTTGTCTGATTCACTCACCCCTAACTTCTCTTGTCTTGTCTGATTCACTCACCCCTAACTTCTCTTGTCTTGTCTGATTCACTCACCCCTAACTTCTCTTGTCTTGTCTGATCCATTCACCCCTAACTTCTCTTGTCTTGTCTGATTCACTCACCCCTAACTTCTCTTGTCTGGTCTGATTCACTCACCCCTAACCTCGCCTGTCTTGTCTTCTCTGATTCACTCACCCCTAACTCCTCTTGTCTGATCCACTCACCCCTAACTTCTCTTGTCTTGTCTGATTCTCTCACCCCTAACTTCTCTTGTCTGATCCACTCACCCCTAACTTCTCTTGTCTTGTCTGATTCACTCACCCCTAACTTCTTTTGTCTTGTCTGATTCACTCACCCCTAACTTCTCTTGTCTGATTCACTCACCCCTAACTTCTATTGTCTTGTCTGATCCACTTACCCCTAACTTCTCTTGTCTTGTCTTATTCACTCACCCCTAACTTCTCTTGTCCTCTCTGATCCACTCACCCCTAACCTCGCTTGTCTTGTCTGATTCACTTACCCCTAACTTCTCTTGTCTTGTCTGATTCACTCACCCCTAACTTCTCTTGTCTTGTCTGATTCACTCACCCCTAACTTCTCTTGTCTTGTCTGATCCACTCACCCCTAACTTCTATTGTCTTGTCTGATTCACTCACCCCTAACTTCTATTGTCTTCTCTGATTCACTCACCCCTAACTTCTCTTGTCTTCTCTGATTCACTTACCTCTAACTTCTATTGTCTTGTCTGATCCACTCACCCCTAACTTCTCTTGTCTTGTCTGATTCTCTCACCCCTAACTTCTCTTGTCTTCTCTGATTCACTCACCCCTAACCTCGCTTGTCTTGTCTGATTCACTCACCCCTAACTTCTCTTGTCTTGTCTGATTCACTCACCTCTAACTTTTCTTGTCTTGTCTGATTCACTCACCCCTAACTTCTCTTGTCTTGTCTGATTCACTCACCCCTAACTTCTCTTGTCTTGTCTGATTCACTCACCCCTAACTTCTCATGTCTTGTCTGATTCACTCACCCCTAACTTCTCTTGTCTTGCCTGATTCACTCACCCCTAACTTCTCTTGTCTTCTCTGATTCACTCACCCCTAACTTCTCTTGTCTTGTCTGATTCACTCACCCCTAACTTCTCTTGTCTGATTCACTCACCCCTAACTTCTCTTGTCTTGTCTGATTCACTCACCCCTAACTTCTCTTATCTGATCCACTCACCCCTAACTTCTCTTGTCTTGTCTGATTCACTCACCCCTAACTTCTCTTGTCTTGTCTGATTCACTCACCCCCAACTTCTCTTATCTGATCCACTCACCCCTAACTT